AAAAATTTCAAATTCAATTAAATTTGAATTTGTTATTTAATTGCATTACCTAAATTATGAAAGCTAAATTAGGAAAGGTTTAATGACAAGGGAGTTAGGAGGGAAACCAATGAGGGGCCGGCGGTGGGGTGGATGGGCCGTGGATGGTGTGGGGGTTTTAACCTAGCCGACGGGTGGGGATTGTTAGTATGGCCGGCGAAAAGTCGAGGGAGGGAGGAAGTGGTCGGTGGTGAAGCGACGAAGAGGAAAGGGAAAGATAAAATAAAGAACTACAAACCCGGCTGTCTCCAAGGTTGGTGGGTGATCCAAACTTCCCTCTCCAAGGGATCTCACTCCGCTCTCTCTCAAGCTCTCAAAAGAACTCAAAACATGTAGAAAATTTTTATCATTCAATCATTAACATGAAAAGAGAACAATGAGGCTATATATAGCCTCGTACAAAGACTCAAGAAAATAAAATGGATGGTGTGGGGGTTTTAACCTAGCCGACGGGTGGGGATTGTTAGTATGGCCGACGACAAGTCAAGGGAGGGAGGAAGTGGTTGGTGGTGAAGCGACGAAGAGGAAAGGGAAAGATAAAATAAATAACCACAAACCCGACCATCTCCAAGGTTGGTGGGTGATCCAAACTTCCCTCTCCAAGGGATCTCACTCCGCTCTCTCTCAAGCTCTCAAAAGAACTCAAAACATGTAGAAAATTTTTATCATTCAATCATTAACATGAAAAGAGAACAATGAGGCTATATATAGCCTCGTACAAAGACTCAAGAAAATAAAAGACGACAACGCCCATTGGGCTTACATACAACCTCCTTTAAGTAAGGGGTAAAAATGGAAACACTAATAAGCAAATACAACATGACATAATAATAATGAAAATAAATAATACAACTCATAAATACATCGACTCAACTGTGGCCGTAGATCGACGCCCACGTCTTTGATAGACTTTCCACGCTCTAATGTCCCCATCAATTTGTTTCTTTATTAAGATATCCTGTATAGATCTATAAATAAAGATAGTTTTGTATAATAAAATTAAGCTTTTTCCCTCACTATTTCTCTAAATTTAACAAAAATATTATGGAAGAAGCAAAGTAGCTTGCTTAATAATCATATTATTGAAATCTCAAAAGCTAAGAGAATGCTAAATTATAAGAAATTAAGTATTTTTATCTAGAATTTAAGAATTAAAAAGATGTTACAAATTATATATTTATAGAGGAATCAAATATTAGTAATTTTAGTAGTAATAGACCTAGTGAGGGGATTGTGACTTTGGTCGATCAAGTCATTAATAAGAGTACACGTTTTAGATATCTTGGATCTATTGTTCAGAGTGATGGAGAAAATTATTGAAATCTCAAAAGCTAAGAGAATGTTAAATTATAAGAAATTAAGTATTTTTTATCTAGAATTTAAGAATAAAAAAGATGTTAAAAATTATATATTTATAGAGGAATCAAATATTAGTAATTTTTATAGTAATAGACCTAGTGAGGGGATTTGACTTTGGTCGATCAAGTCATTAATAAGAGTACACGTTTTAGATATCTTGGATCTATTGTTCAGAGTGATGGAGAAATAGATAAGAATATTATCAGTAGAATTCAAGTTGGATGGTTGAAAAGGAGGAATGCATCAGGCTTGTTGTGTGATAGAAAAGTCCCCCTCAAACTTAAGGGAAAATTTTATAAGATGGTGAAGAGACCTGCAATGTTTAATGGTGCAAAATATTGGCCATTAAAAGAGAATCATAAAACTAAGTTAAGTGTTGCTGAGATGAGGATACTCAGGTGGATGAGTGGCTTTACCCTTAGAGATAGGATATGAAATGAGCATATACGTGAAAAGTTTGGAGTAGCTCCAGTGGAAGATAAGATTAGAGAGAGTCACCTTAGATGGTTTGGTCACAAAAAATGACGGCCTTCTGATGACCCGGTTAGGAAAGTAGAGGTATTATATTTTGACTTATGTTAAGAAAGGTAGAGGTAGACCTAAAAAGACTCGGTTAGAAAATATTAGAAATGATATTTCTTTATTAATTTAAACAAAAATTTGATTTTTAACAGAACACAATGGAGAAAAAAGATTAATATAGCCGACCCCACGTAGTGGGACAAAGGCTTGATGTTGTTGTTGATGTTGTATAGAGGAATCAAATATAAAAATAATGTCAGAGAATTAGTTCAATTTTATGCTAGAAGATACTCATCAACATCATCATTAGCCTTGTCCAACTACAATGAACTCTCATTTTCCTTTGTTTGTTCCTACTGAGTGCTGCTCAAGTCATAAAACATATTCTACTTCAAACCATTTTAATTCATGTTACCTTAGGTCTTCCCCTTTTTTCTCCTTTCTAGTCCACTTATACTAATTTAAGCTACATGTTTAATGGATTTATTTTCCATCATTCAATGTATAAGTTGAAACTACATAAATTTATTTTCAACTAAAAAATCTTCAATAGATGTCAATCTATAATATACCTACTTATTATGTTCATTATGTTCCTCCAAAATATTTTCTTTCTTAAAATTTTTATTCAAAAATATCTCAAAGTACGGGTTTCAACTTTCTTTAGTGACTTCAGATTTAACTAAAACAATATTATCTTCACTTCGAATACATACATTTTTTTTTTCTTCGAATACATACATATATATATGTATATGTATGTATATATATATTTCCTTAGTAATGAGCTCATAATATAAACCATTAAAAACTAATGTTTTTGCTTTGCTCAGTACACTCTTTCCAAGTTTTTTATTTTTTTAAAATTATTATAAGCATAAAAAATATTTAAAATTTTCCCCTCTTCTAAAGAATATTTCCTTTCTTAAATTCTTTTGTACCTTCTCAGTCCACTAGAAAATTCCTTTATCAATGTATGATTTATTTATAAATTCTCCTAAAGTTCTAGGATAATCTTCTTAATAGAATTAATCATCTTATCTTACATCAGGTTTTGCTCAACTAAAAAAATTGTCTCTTTTGGCAATTCATTTTGACAGATAAAAGTTTCTCGACTCTTAAATTCATCTTATCTTAAAGGCAATAATTTCATTGATTGTTTCCTTCATAATCTTAAGATAAAAAACCATAGCTACTACTTTATGTTGCATGATCAAGCTCTCTTTAGAAATCACATTTCAAAAAAAGATATAGAAAAAATAAATATATATTTTTATTAGTGGCTCAACTTTTGCAAGTAATTAAGCGGAGTTTTTGTTTCTTAAATTATGCATTCATTTTTGCAATATCATAATTTACTATGAAATCAAGTATAACTTCTTCCATTAGATATCTATCTCTTATTCCACAACCATCATAAATCCTATTATAACCCATTCTACTTAAACCTATATTTTCGTTCAAGTAACATCACTAAATACCATTTCTTCCATAGGAGTATGTTGTAGTAGGTATTTATCACATCCGAAAAGTGATTTTTAAACTATCTTCTAATAAAACTAAAGGATCATCCCCATATTTATAATGTCTCACCACTAACCACCTTATAGCAAACACCCTAATCAATAGCATATTCACCTCAACAAGTTTACCTACAATAATCCAAATTCCAATTCTACTCTTAAAATTTCTAAAATATAATAACTTATAATATCTTTGAATTTTCATATTTCCAATTTAATTCTTACAAAGAGATGAACTAAGGTGGAATTTTTTGTGCCAAGGCAATTAATGGAAGAGTATCGAAAGGAAGATATTTTTTTGATAGTAAGAAAGCATATGTTTGAACACCATTGAAATTGTAAACAGAGTAGTTCTATTTATATGTTATAGTAGTATTTAACATCATTAGGTGGTAGTTGAGGGTATTTCCCACATAAATCTCCTTTTGTTGGACAAAATAAAGATATAACTTAAGCTTACTTGCATTTATTATAATTTTTAGAAGTCTTTGATGTTCAAGCTAACTCTCATTACAGTTTTTTTTTGTTTAATCACCCATTTTTAACTCTAAAGATGCCTCATCTATATCAAATTCCAATGTAAAATAGATCAAACGTACTGAAACTTTCAAAACTAAGAATCACTCGAACTTCCAGCATCAGTGAAAAATAATTATCAAAATACCTTAAAATTGTCTACAATGTAACTAAATTTTGTACAACTACCCTTAAGCTTCAAATTTTTCTCTATTTTGTTAATATTTCATTCATTCAAGCATAGAAATTACCTATTAAATTATGTCATCTGGAGTAGCATCTATCAAAGTAAATCATCTTGAGCAAGTTTTTTAAGTGTCTTTACAATCCACAAAAAACAAAGCAATTAGTCATCATCCCAATTACAGTGCTCCAAAGAAACTTTTTTGTTACTAAACAACTATTTCCAATATTAATTGTATATCATGGAAATCTTTATTAACCTCAACAAATATTTAATACATCTTTTTTCTTGAAGCCCAACAAGTTTTCATTGTTTTGATCAATTGCAACTTCGACATCAAACAACCAAATCATGATTCTATCACTTCATACTTTTCTATTAATTGCCTAAACACAACAAATGTGTCCATTATAGATTTCATGGTATATAACCAAATAAATTATCCATTACCAAAGTGATTTCGCTGAAAAGTTAAAGTATAGAATAACCAGCTCAAGACCTTTATCCCGAGCACTAAGTGTAATCGAGAAAGATGAAGGCCCGCCATATAAATATAATACATTTTGACGCGCATGGCTCTAAATAAAATAAAATCAATAACTAATAGAAATAAGGAATTAATATTATTTAAACCACTGCATCACATGAAACAGGTATAAATTTGCACAGGCGAGTACCAGTTTTATGTGAATTTATTGTACTTTAAGAATTCAACTAGCATTGAAACCATTCTTTGGTTGTATTCTCATAGTAGATGTCAAAATCACAGCTAAACAAAAACGAAGTAAAAAACTGAATAGACTTGCCCCAAGGGAAGACAATAAAATGTAAATGCTATAAATAATATGAAAACTCACCAATTCTATATGCAGGGAAGAATCTATATTAGAGATACTACAGAAATGAGACACTCCCAGCAGCTGAGTTCCACCCCGCAATAATTTGATAGGTCTCAGAACCAGAGTGCCCAAGCCATAAAGCAAATGCTTTCCAAACCAGTTTTTTCTCATGTTAGGCAGCATTAATGGTTGTCTTGTAACCTGAAAGTGAAAAAAAAGGAATGATTAACAAATGTATTTACAGAAGAAATATACTTGAATTTAAGAACTTAGTGAACATGTTCTACAAAAACAAATCATGAGATATTGAAATCTGGAAAAGCTTGAAAGTTTCATATAAATCAACCTTTGCGTCAAATCTACTAAACTTTTTTTTACTGAAGAGCAATATATTTTTTTTTTTTTATCATAGACAATCTCATAAAATAGCATTGATATTTGCTGCATAATTCAGATTTCATGTCAACTCAAGAACTTAAAGATGCTTAACTTCTTCTATCCAACGACTCCATGAAAGCAAAATCAGAGAGCTGATTTGACAATATAAACAAAATCCAAAGCCAACATGTGGGACCTTTTGGACATCATAGAATAAAATATTCTATGGCGAACTAACTGAAATAACTCAGACATCACCAAGATACCGGTAAATATGATAAAAGGATAAAAATCTAAACCAGTTATGGTGAACAGCAAATTATAGATAAAGCAGCCATTGCAATCAAAATATGTTCTGCACTTCAAAATCATAATTATGTTTAAAAATTGCAAACGCGAGCTAATCCACCATAAAAATATCCATGGAAAAAAAGAACAAATGTTGATGCAAATATGTGAAACATAAACTTTTAAGATCAATTTTAGGGCCATCTGAACTTCAACTTAACAAACTTATAATATTTTGATGAGATAGATCCAACAACACCAAAAGCATCTTGATCCGAATTTAAATGAGCCTAAAACAAGTACTCAAAGAATAGTTAGAAACTTTATGACACTATTTGAGAGACCAAACTGTAACACCCACGATACCCCTTACCAGTAATGTAGTGTGTCACATAACTAAACATAACATTCTTTTTTTTCATTTAATAATTCTCATCAATTTCATGCTCATATAAAACATTCACTGACAATTACATTTGAATAACAACGGAAACATTTAATGATCCAACTATCATCACATAACTAATTACGGAACCGCTAAGAAAAATCAAAATAATATAACACAGAATAGTCTACATACATCTGCTGTAAACTTACATAAAATGCTACACTATAGAACATAAATTGAAATAAACTTGAACATATTTTGCTTCGACTTTTTTCTTTCTTTCCCTGTAACAATAACCAATATAAACACTGGTGAGCTATAAGGCTCAATAAGTTATACAATTTGTATAAAAATTAAATGTCAGATTATCATGAATATCATAATTGAATCAACTAAAAAAGATTTGCAAAATCACATAAAATCATCTTTAGGAGCATCATTTAATTTATTTAAAGTCAATACATAATATCATAATTAGTCTTATAAAGTTATGGCTATCATTTTCATAATGTTAACTTTCATAAAAATGTTCAATGGAGCCCAGGTAACCCTAGCATTATCATCATTGAACCTCTAACGGGTCTGTTGCGCGTTATAATGTACGCTTAGTTGCACAAGGCTTTAACCAAGAATTTGGTCTGGATTACTTTGACACCTTTGGTCTGGTACCAAAGTTTCCTACTATTCAAATTTTCTTCAAAGTTGTTGTCACGACAATGGAGCATCATACAACTAGACGTTTCAAATGCCTTACTCCATGGATCACCTCATGAGACCGTATATATGATGCAGCCGCCGGGCTTTAAAGATCCTAATCTACCAGACCTTGTATGGACTAAAACAAGCCCCATGCTTGTGGTTTGCTACCTTCACCAACTTTCTCTTAGACTTTGGCTTTCATGTTAGCTAGGCTGACCCTTCGCTCCTATGCTATCATAAAGGCAACACTCATATTTATATTCTCATCTACGTCGACGATATCTTGTTGACCGGTAATGACTTCCCTGCCATTCACTCATTACTACAAGCCTTACATTCGCGATTTCAAATTCGCAACCTCGACAATGTCTCCCAATTTCTTGATATACATGTTGTGCCTCTCGACACTGGTTATCACCTCTCGCAAGCACCATAAGCAGCCAACCTTTTGGAAATATTGGGTATGAAAGATTGTAAACCTGTCCTTACTCCTCTACCCACCAAGTTACCAGCTCTCACAAAAAATTCTGCAACCTATCAGAAGCCCGAACTGTACAGACAACTTGTTGGATCACTACAGTATCTAGCAATCACTAGACCAGATCTCTCCTTTGCAGTCAATCTATTATGCTAGCATATGCATAAGCCATATAATCTACATTTTCAACTTCTAAAGAGAGTTCTTCGTTATATTCAAGGTACAATCTATTCCGGTCTTCCTATTTTACCTTCCTCTCTTGAGCTTTATGCTTACTCAAACTCTAATTGGGCTGTTGATACTACAAATCGAAGATCCATCACTACTATTGTGCCTTGGCACCAATTTGGTCTCTTGGTGCATGAAAAAGCAAACCACCATTGCTCATTCATCTACTGAAGCCGAGTACAAAGCTTTAGTTTCGGCAGCCACATATGTCATTTGGTTAAGACGACTACTTCAGGATTTTGCATTTTTGTTTCCACACCTACCTCATTATTTTGCGACATCTCTGCTTTGGCACTAGCTAACAATCCTATGTTTCATGCCCATACGAAACACATTGTTGTAGATTTTCATTTTATCAGAGACTGCATCAAATTGAATCACATTATTGTTCATCATACGCCTCCGAAGATCAGCCGGCTGATATCTTCACAAAACCACTGTCTATTACCAAATTTCAATCTCTACAAACCAAGTTAACAATTCAGGACCACATTTTTAACTTGAAGGGAGGTGATAACGGACATATTCTATATGATAAGCAAAGTAGCCTCTTAGATCAGTCGGCTTGCATTTCCACCTCCTCTGTACCAGACTTAATCCCAGCCGCTGGAAGCCTGGAACTCTGCCAAACAGTCAATCACAGCCATTCACCTCTAACCAACTCTGATATCTTCTTCTACATAAGAGAACACTGTAGCTTGCAAAAGGAATCAATTAATATGGCTTTCTGTGCTAAACCTCTTGTATTGCAATACTGTTACTAACATATGATTAAGTTTGCAGGTTGCAGAATGACTGATCTCAATCAGAAGTATAATACTCCGCAAAACTTAAATCAATGAAAAAAATAAAACCAGATCAGAAAAGAACAAAACAATCAAATTTATTTATTTAAAGTAGAAGCAAACAAGCATCTATTTTTATCATACTATTAATTAACAAAGGAAAGACAATATTTGAAAAACAAGAATAATATTAAACAAACCTATCTCAAAAGTTCAGGATGTAAAAAAAAACTACCCTGCTCGATTCCGCGCCTAAAGAGAAACCAATGCAAAGCTGCACACTGCGCGACTAGGTTAAGAGACCAAACAGCGCGATCCCAATCCATCTAAAATGTTCAGGATGCAGTAACGAGATCCTGCTAATGATCTTTCTTCTGCCTTCCCCAGTTCAATTCAAATAACCGCTTTGGGATTTCAGGAAATAGAGAAAAAGATAATAGAAATGGACTTAACGATTCTAAAAAAGGAGGTATTCTTCCAATGAAAAAGAAGAAACCTTAAATAGATATAATATGGCAAAGAGCTAGGAGAGGACGGACCTTGGAGCAGGGTAGAGAGGCCATCAAGGAGGAAACCCTGGAGAGCATCGCGAGCTAAGATGGTGGTGGGAGAAAATAGGGTGTTTTAAGTCTCTCTGCCCACTTGCTTGAGCCTGTCGAGCAAGAGATGACCGGCCAAGGATATAGAAAATTGAAACATTTAAATTTATATGCACATTTTCCCAAAAAAAAAAAAATTTATATGCATAACAAAACTAATTTTATTTATGAGGATTTGCATACATGTCATTATATAATAACTATATTAGATATCTACTGTCTAAAATATTAATATTTCATTCCTACCACCCAAATACAATTTAAACCTCAAATATATCACTTTGTCTCTCCCCAAGCTCACACTATCTCCTTCCCGCTGAAATATTTCTTCCCGCACTCCTCTCCTCATTTGCTCTAATCCCTCTTCCCGCAAACTCCACTCCTCGCGTGCTCTTCTCGCAAACTCGTTCCAGCGAGATAATCACTAAGGGGCTGTTTGGCAGTTTTCTCACAACGAAATCCCTCTCCTGCATGCTCTTCTTGTGCTCTCAACAACCTACAACTTGCAATTTTTTGTCATTCTGTTGTTTAGAGGTTATTCGTTTTCTTTGTATGTTGAGAGCCTAGGGTCGAGGAAGAATATGAGGTATTTTGGACTTGCAAGTTGATTGTGAGAGGTTGACCGATATTGGCTTTTGGGGGAAACAGACTTGTTGCTTTGAGCGGGAGGTGTCATTTGAGAGTAGAGGAAAGAGGCTTTTAGTGCTTCATAGTTTAAAAGCTTCTTATTTTCAACAAATTAATTCTCATCATCATATCACATTCTAGTTTTGAATGAAACAAATAATTGTTTGCAAATAATAAATAAAAAGGTCATAAAAGCATATCAATGAGACAAAGCATGAAAGCTATATAAGTTTTTATAGTTTACAAGATAAGTCTCTATGGTTCACAAATATATAGTTTATACGATAAGGTTCACAAATTTATAGTTTACAAGATAAGTTTATGTGAGTTTAGAAGACAAGTCTATATGAATAACCCTTTTTTGGATATTCAGTTGAATTTTCAATTTTTTGAGACAATTTGTGGAGGAACTTGTTGTTCATATGCTATATTTGGATGCTAATTTCGCTTGGTAATTTCAAGGATAGTTTTGAAGAAATGGGTTCAAATTATTTCGCATATTTCCAAAGAAGGTAACAAAAGATTGTTCATTCACTAAAATGACATTAGTATGACATTTTTCTGAGCACTGACAAATCCATTTATATGACTTTACATAATTTGAAATGCTTTTTTATCTTTGTAAATGTAGGCTTATGGTGACAAAGCCAGAAATGATTTATGCGGGGAATAAAAATAGCATATTTTTGTTGAATTTAAATTTGGAGGATTCGGGTTAGCATCAAGGACCAATCTAGAAAGAGGTATGATGGATGAGATTTTTGTGTCTGGACACCGAACGTGTCCAGAGACCAATAAAAAAGCGCCACATTACTAGGCGCTCGGTACCGCGCTCGATACAGACAGCAGTACCGCTCGGTACACTATCCGGACAGAATAATTTTTCAGTATGCTGGTGAAAAATAAAGGATTATCAAATTTGAGAAAGGACATATCAATATTTTCACATTTAGAGAAGAAATTGGTAGAATATATCCATGGGTTTAGGGGCGTCAATATAATATGTATTATCACATATATAGATCATCACCCAAGGAATACAAAGTTATCAATTTTGATGTTGACGTGAGTGAGTTGGTTAACTATCGAATGAAAATTTATTTGCCAAGATAGTTATCTCACTACAAGAAGTAGATGACGATGAATCAAATTCATACCTTATGAGGGTTCTGAGTACTAATCAGATAGTAGAATATTTTATTACACATAATGATGGTATTTCAAGTGTTCATACTGCAAGTGTTATAGATGTCTCTCTTAATACATTTTTTAATGATGCAACAAGTTTCAAGAATGCTCTCCAATCAGTTACCATTAAGAAAAACTTTAGGATTAGGATAAAAACCAATGATAATAAACGTGTTATTGTGACATGTTCTTATCAAGATTGGCAATGGACAATTTGAGCATCCCTATGTGAAGACACTCAATCTTTTTAAGTTAGGAGAGTAGATGGAGTAAACACATGCCCTAGGGTCAATCGTGTTAGGAATAGACTCACAACATATACATGGGTTGCTAATGATATTTAGGAGATGATCAAGAGGTATCCATACATTATACCAAAAGAAATTAATAGCAATTTATAAAAAGAGTATGCTTTATCATTATCTTATATGAAGCTTTGGAGAACAAGCAAGCCCATGATACCATATTTGCCTAAGTTGATGATAACTATAAATGGGTACCAACATTAAGAATGAAACTACTTGATAAAATTTTGGGCATACATATCACATATACATATGACAATATTGACAATTCATTTTAGAGATGTTATATCAGTTTCAAGGTGTGTGCAGATGGATTCCTTGCTGGTTGTAGACCTCTTACAAATTTGTATGCATGACATCTTAAATCTAAGCACTTAGATGTACTTTTATATGCTACTCACTTGATGTTAATAATTGATTATTCACATTAGCCTATGTTGTTGTTGAGATTCAATCAAAGCAAACATGGTCACAATTTTTTTCATAACTGGGATTGATACAAACATAAAATGTTTTGCTTTCATATCAGACATGTAAAAGGGTTTGGGAGAGGCTATTAGAGATGTAGATTTTGAAGCTAAGCTTAGAGTTTGTATTCATCATTTGTGGAAGAATCTAAAAAAAAAAATCATTGCAAAAATGGGCAAAAAGTCCAAGGACTGGTTTGGGTAGGCTCTAATTCCTACACTAGAATAAAATATGATGAGAAGCTTGCTAAACTAAGTAATTTGAGCCCTACTATTTACTCGTACCTACTTTTGGTGCAGTACAAGTGGTCAAGAAGTCGATCTATGTTAGTGATATATCATGCTGCCAATACTAATAATTTTGTAGAATCATTCAATTCATGGATTGTTATGTTAGAAATAAACCTATGATTGACCTAATTGATATGATTTGAGGTAAGCTTATGGATCAAAGGGTTGTACGAAAGATGACTAACATGACATAGCAGCGTAAATTAACCTGAAATGTGGAAGAATGTATAAGAGATCACAACAATAAAAGATCTAGTAGTTCATCAATTTGTCATTTTTAAGGCTGAGGTGGAGGGCCTCCATTCAAGACATGTCGTTGATATTGAAAGAAGAGACTTGACATATAGTGTGTGTCAATTAAGTGGACTACCTTGCATTCATGACGTAGCTTTCATTGGTATGAAGGAGCACCCATTGTGGCATACATACGTTGATGATTACTACTACGCAGCTAGGTAACATTTAGCCTCTTACATATCCACTATTGTTTGTATATTACATGTACTAACATGAGAATTACAAGTGGTTTATGTATATTTGTATAAAATTGCATACGATGGAGAAATTGCCACATTACCTAGGAAGAAGCAGCGGTTAGTAGTAGATGGTTTGCATAATACATCCAGACTAAGATGTAGGCTAGAAAAAGAAGATTGTTAAACTTTTTGGAGAATGGCAAGAAAGTACATGAATATGGTAGGTGTGGTCTATGGGGGCATCATAGGAGTACTTGTAAGAACCTATTACAAAATAAGAAAAATGAAAACATATTACTAAAACAAGTAGTACAACCAAGATGACCAAAGTAGTTGAGTAGACTAAGTGCAAATGGCATTGAGGCGCATGGATTCTTGTATTCATATGTGGATGGTTTATAACTTCATATAATATCTTATGTTTTTTTTAATTAGAAAGGTCATTTTATATATAAAAAGGCCAATTTTTAGCTATGTAGTTCTTTTTTTGTATGAAAAAGGCCAAATTTTGTTATTTCATTTTATTTTATCAATTATTATGTCAAGAAAGGCTCTTTTTAAAGTTAGCTTAAAACTTATAATTCATTTGAAGAAAGGTCAAAATATGAATAAATTTGAACATGAATCTTAAATATGACACATCAACATTCAAACTAATTCCACACAACAAATTACTATATAAAATAAATATGAATGGTGGCATCAATAAGAACAACCGCAACAAAGTCTTTCATCATGAAGATGATAAAGTCAAGCTTCTTAGAAATCCTTGCCTCGAAACCTTTTAATTCATAATGTGTGGAATAAGATGATGTTTCTACTTCATCTACCCATTTAAAATAACTACAATCGTCATCTATTTGATTATAAATGCACCTAAAAAATTACCTTTCACTATTAGGTTCTCGATAGCAAGTATACAACACAAATTTTTAGTTACAGTGGCAATAAACTTGAGAAAGTTGGCACCTGGCTTTTGTAAAAGAATAATTTATTGAACTTATTCAAAATGACAAAAAATCTCAGTTGCTATAAATTGAACAATCAAAAGTTAGGTCCTCGCTTGGTTGTAGTTTAATTAATAAGCAATAAATATTTCATATAAATTACTCTTAGTTATGAGGATACAACACAAACTGCAACTAAGCATATTAATTCTAAAATCAAAATGGCCATTGTGATAATAAACGAGTTATTTTAGTATGCACTAAAATGAGTTGTTAGCTGTCACAATGCAATCGTGCTACACATTCATGAATTTCAGAAGTAATTAATTTAGGTGAGGGGTCAGGGTGGGGACTCAGGATAAGGAGAAAAGATAAACAAGAAGTAAAGGAAAGGCACATAACCAAAAATAAATCATAGAAATCAAAGTTGAGGCATCTACTCCTTGTTTACAAAAACACCGGAGTGCAAAATCATGGGAATGATATAGCTCACGAAGAGGGGATCTTAGCGGGAGTTCTCCAACTATGGTTTTTATTGCAGAGGGCATAAAATACAAGCAAATGAGGGCCACTTGCGAGAGAGAGTAAGAGCAAGAAAGGGATTTCAGCATGTGGTAGGAAGAGCACACTAGGAAAGGAGTTCACAGGAAGAGCATGTGAGGAGTTTGTGGGACGATTATGCGAGGAGGAGAGGAGTTCGCAGGAAGAGAGATTTTAGTGGGAAGG